CCTGATCGATGCCTAACTGCTCCCCTGCATGCCCAATTGCCCCCAACTGCCCTCCCCTGCTGGTCTGGTCACCTCCAATTGCCCTCCCCTACCAGCCTGGTCTCCCCCCCAACTGCCCTCCCCTGCTGACCTGGTCGCCCCCAATTGCCCTCCCCTGAAGGCCTGGTCACACCCAACTGCCCTCCCCTGCCAGCCATCTTGTGGTGGCCATCTTGTGACCACATGGGGCAGCAATCTTGTGACCACATGGGCGTGGCCATCTTGTGCAAGGGCATGATGGTCAATTTGCATATTACCTCTTTATTATATAGGATATCTTTGAAAAGATAATCCAGATAAAGCTGACAATGTCTCTGCTTAGAAGACTGAGAGGAACACAAGAGACTCATGAAGAATTGCCCCTCAACAATTATTCTTCGGTTATTTATTTCTAACATAATTGCGCTGTGATCAGAGAACATAGTCTGTGGGTATAGATCTTTAAGGCACATATGGAGAAGGCTGGGGAAGGCCTCTAGGAATGCCAGCACCACACATCACAGCACCTGAGACCAACTCCATTCTAAGCTGCTATACCAGGCATTGCCTCCATTCAGAGAATCTTCTTTAAATTCTTGGAAAGAAGCAGGTTATCTCCAAGAGGACATAACCTTCTTAGTGTGCAATCCGCTGTCACTGAAGGTGTGGAGAGAAAGGCAATGAGGAAGCAAAGGCCTTAGGGCAGCCAGTTACCCATCGTACCTGTGTTCTAACCAGGTTCTCAACCTGGGGGGATCTCGGAGAAGCCCAGATATTCTCCCCAACTTCCCAACCCTTCCATTTTCCCATACACACACCTGGCATCTGGGTTGCTCTAGCTAATTTCCATCCCACAGAAGTGATGTAGAAAATAAAATCTTGCCAAAGCAATGTGGAAGACATGTCAGAGCAAACTTTTCCCTCCATAGCTGTACCCTCACTCTGTTCCCATGACAGACTGCCACAAGCTTCAGACAGTTCATAAGGGTCTTTGATCTCCTCATGCCTTTTCAAAGTTTTTATGTTAGTTCTGCAGACTCTGTCTTTTCTCCTCCTCTATCAAGTTCTTAACCCTAGCTGCATATAAGTTGGATCCGAGGAGTATTTAAAAATAATAGTGCCCAGATTCTACTTCTGGACATTCGGATATAATTGGTCCAAGGAGGACCTTTGATTGTCAGTAGATTTTATAGCTCCTTGGGTAATTCTAATGTGCAAAAGAGGTTTGCAATCCTGTTTCTAATTTCCTTTGAAATGATTTTGGAAAGGGGCCTCACAGCCCAGGTTTCTTAATCTTCTTGTCAGGAACTGGACACATATTTTGTTGTATTTTTAAAATTTTTATTGTTGAAAGTATTACATATGTCCTCTTTTTCCTCCTATTGACCCCTTATAGCCCAACCACATCCCCTTCCCCAGGCCACCACCATCCTATTGTCTGTGTTCATGGATTATGCATATATATGCCTTTCTCAATATTGTGTCAAAGGGTAAGAGATCCTTTTTTTTTTTACTGCTGCATAGTATTCCACAGTATAAAGGAATCACTTTTTTATCCACTCATCTACTGACAGGCACCTGGGCTGTTTCCAGATCTTAGCTGTTGTAAATTGTGCTGCTATGAACATAGGGGTGCATACATTCTTTCTGATTGGGGTTTGGAATTTCTTAGGATATATTCCTAGAAATGGGATCACTGGGTAAAATGGCAGCTCCATATTTAATTTTTTGAGGAAACTCCATACTGCTTTCTATAGTGGCTGCATCAGTCTGCATTCCCACCAGCAGGGTACTAGGGATCCTTTTTCTCCACATCCTCATCACTTGTCATTTGTTGATGTGATGATGGTAGCCATTCTGACAGGTGTGAGGTGATACCTCATTATCATTTTAATTTGCATCTCTCTGGTGATCAGTGACTTTGAGCATTTTTTCATTTGTGCCTTGGCCATCTGTATGCCCACTTTGAACAACTGTCTATTTAGGTGCTTTGCTCGTTTTTTAATTGTATTGTTTGTCTTACTTTTGTTAAGTTGTATGAGTTCCTTATATATTTTGGATATTAACCCTTTATCAGATGTATCACTGGCAAATATGTCCTTCCACACAGAGGGCTCTTTTTTAATTTTGTTGTTGGTTTCTTTTGCTGTGCAGAAGCATTTTATTTTGATGTAGTCCCATTTGTTTATTTTTTCCTAAATTTCCATTGCCCTAGGAGATGTATCTGTATACATATTGCTATGAGAAATGTCTGAGATTTTGCTACCTATGGTTTCTTCTAGGATTTTTATGGTTTCACGACTTACATTTAAGTCATGTCCATTTTGAGTTTATTCTTGTGAATGCTGTAAGTTGGTGGTCTAGTTTCATTTTTTTGTATGTATCTGTCCAATTTTCCCAACACCATTTATTGAAGAGTCAGTCTTGATTCCACTGTATGCTCTAGCTTTCTTTGTCAAATGCTAATTGAGTGTAATGGTTTAGGTCAATTTCTGGGGTCTCTGTTTCATTCCATTAATCTAGATGCTTGTTCTTGTACCTCCTACTTAGTTCTTCTTTCTCAAGATTGCTGCAGGTATTTGGGTTCTTTTTTGGTTCCATGTATATTTTTTGTATTTGTTATAGATCCATGAAATATGCCGTTGGTAATTTAATAGGGATTGCATTGAATCTATAGATTGTTTTGGGTAGTATGGACATTTAAATTATGATAATTCTACCAATCCATGAACACAGTATATTCTTCCACTTGTATATATCTTCCTCTATCTCTTTGTTCAACATCCTCTAGTTTTCTGAGTACAAGTCCTTTACCTTCTTGGTTAAGAGTACTCCTAAATATATTAATTGTTTTATTACTGTGGTAAATGGGATTGTTTAGTTTCTCTTTCTGCCAATTCATTATTAGTATATAAAAATACCATTGATTTCTGGGTGCTAATTTTGTATCCTGCTACATTTCTGAATTCATTTATTAACTCTACTAGTATTTTGGTGGAGTACTTAGGGTTTTCTATGTACAATATCATGTCATCTATGAACAATGAGAATTTTACTTGCACCTTCCAAATTTGGATTCCTTTTATGTTAATCTTCTTGTCTGATCACTGTGGCTATGGCTTCCAGTACTATGTTAAATAAGAGTGGTGAAAGCAGACACACCTGTCTTATCCCTGTTCTTAGGGGAAATGGTTTAAGTTTTTGCCCATTGAGTATGATGTTGGCTGTAGGTTTATTATATATGGTCTTTATTATGTGGAGATATCCCTCTATTCCCACTTTGCTGAGAGTTTTTATCAAAAATGACGCTGGATTTTGTTGAATGCTTTTTCTGCCTCTATTGAAATGATCATGTGACTTTTATCTTTCATTTCATTTCATTTATGTGGTATATCACCTTTATTGATTTGTGAATATTGTATCAGCCTTGCATCTCTGAAATAAATCCCACTTGGTCATGATATACAATCTTTTTAATATATTGCTGGATGCAATTTGTTAATATTTTGTTGAGAATTTTAGCATCTATGGTCTTCAGGGATATTGGCCCATAATTCTCTTTCTTTGTAGTATCTTTATCTGGATTTGGAATTAGGATAATGTTAGCCTCATAAAAAGAGCTTGGAAGTATTCCTTCCTCTTGGATTTTTTTTGGAATAGTTTGAGGAGAATAGGTGTTCTATGAATATTTGGTGAGTCTCCCCTGTGAAGCCATCTGGACAAGTTGTTCATAGTATTTTCTTACAATCCTTTGTATTTCTGTGCTGTCAGTTGTTACTTCACTGCTTTCATTTCTGACTTTATTTGAGGCTTCTCTCCTTGTTTCTTGATTAATCTAGCTAATTGTTCATTAATCTTGTTTATCTTTTCAAAGAATCAGCTCTTGGTTTATTGATCTTTTGAATTGCTTTTTAGTCTCTATGTCATTTATTTCTGCTCTGTTCTTTATTATTTTCTTTCTTCCACTTACTCTGGGTCTTTCTTGTTGTTTTCCTTCGAAGACTTTAAGCTGTAGGCTTAAATAGTTTCTTATTAATTTTTCTTGTGTTTTGAGCTAGGCCTGTAGTGCTATGAACTTCCCTCTCAGGACTGCCTCTACTGTGTTCCATAGATTTTGGGTTGTTGCATGATCATTTTCATTTGTTTCCAGGAAGTTTTTGATTTCTTTCTTGATCTCATTGGTTATCCATTTATTGTTTAACTAGTGGCCTAGTGCACAAAATTTGTGCACATTTAAAAGGGAATTAATTAGAGGAAATATTTTAATATTGCTATTTGCCCTTTCTCTATAATAGAAGTGTCAGAGGTGAAAGAAAATTAGTAAAATGTATATGGAAATAATATATAAATTTATTAATAAATAAACAATAACAGCATCATGTCCCCTGCTGGCGCCAGGTGGGGGACACAACCTCACATCCCCTGGCTGACATGGGGTGAGGGACGCAGCCTCACGTCCCCTGGCCTCACCACGCACACAGCCCTGCTCACCTGTGCCTGCTGGGCATGCAGCCTCCTGCTGATCAGTTGTTATGGCGTGAGGGCATCATGACCATTTTCATATTGCCCTTTTATTAGTATAGATAACATGCTATTTAGCCTCCCTGTCTTTGAATTTTTTTGAATGTTCTTACTGTAGTTGATTTCTAATTTTATTCCATTGTAATCTGAGAAGATGTTTAATAATATCTCAGTCTTCTTGAACTTGTAGAGACTTACTTTGCATCCTAACATGTGGTCTATCTTTGAGAATGACCCATGTCCACTGGGAAGAATGTATATTCTACAGCTTTGGGGTGAAAAGTATTATAAATGTCAATTAAATCCATCTGATCTAGTGTATTATTTAGATATCTGTTTCCTTGTTAATTTTTTGTCTGGAAGATCTATCCAGTGAAGTTGGCAGGGTGTTAAAGTCCCCTACTATGACTATTGCTGTCAATCTCTTGAAGTTCTCCAGAATATTTTTTTTTATATATTTAAGTGCTTCTCATTGAGTGCATATATGTTTACCAGGGTTATAACTTCTTGTTGGATAGATCCCTTTAGTATTATGTAGTGATCTTTATTGTCTCTTGTGATGGCCTTCAATGTGAAGTGTATTTTGTTGTCAGATATAAATATTGCCACCCCACTTTTGTTTGTTTCTATTTTCATGGAAAAAAAATTTTCATTCCTTCACTCTCATCCTGTGTGAGTCTTTTGTTCTGAGGTAGGTCTCTTGTAGACAGCATATATTTGAATTATGTTTTAGTACCCATTCATCTACCCTATATCTTTTGATTGGAGCATTTAATTCATTTACATTTAAGGTTATTATTAATACGTACTTATTTATTGCCATTGTAATTCTTTATGGCTATGTTTCTCTTTCTCTCTATTTCTTCTTCTCATTACAGCAGTCCCTTTAACATTTCTTGCAGTGCTAGTTTTGAGGTGACAAATTCCTTTAGCCTTTTTTTGTACTGGATATAGTAATCTTGGTTTCAGATCCTTGCTTTTTGTTATCTTGAATACTTCATGCCATTCCCTTCTGGCCTGTTTCTTTTTATTTCTGAGAAATCCGCTGAAAGCCTTATGGGAGCTCCTTTGTAGGTAACAAATTGCTTTTCTCTTGCTGCCTTTAAGATTCTCTGTCTTTAATTTTTGACATTTTAAATCTGATGTGTTTGGGTGTGGGTTTGTTTGGGTTCTTCTTGTTTGGAACTCTCTGTGCCACCTTAATCTGTATGGATTTTTCCTTCATGGGGTTAGGGAATTTTTCTGCCATTATTTATTCAAATACATTCTCTATTCCTTGCTCAGCTTCTTCCCCTTCTGGTACACCTATTTTGCAAATATTTTCACACTTCATGTTTTCCCAATTGCCTTGAGCTATCCTTCTGTGTTTTAATTGCTTTTTCTTTTTGCTTTTCTGACTGAGTGATTTTTTTCTACCCTGTCTTCTTATTCACTGATCTGATCCTCAGCTTCCCCTAATGTGCTGTGTATTCTTTCCACTGTGTTCTTTATTAGTGCCATGTCATTCTTTATAGTTACTATATCATTTCTCATGATGTTGAGCATCTTTGCCATCATTACTCTGAATTCTATGTCTGATAAATTTCTTATCTCCATTTTCATTTAGCTCTTCTTCTGGAGAATTCTCTTGTTCTTCTTTGAGGGGGCTTGTTTCTTTTTATTTTTTGGCTTCCCATTTTGGCTTCCTATTTGGGTTTGTGTCTATGTATTAGGTAGATCTGCTATGCCTCTCACTCTCTAGTGCAGACAGTGTTAGATGATGTTTCTGACTGGTTCTGAGTATCCTGTTTGGAGCTATCAGCAATCCACAGCTTGTGGCTCCCTCTGCTGTGGCTTGGTGCCTTTGGTAAGGACCAAGATGTGCACCAAGGTCTGATTTTTCTAGCCCTGTGCCTCAAATTAGATCAGGCAAAGACTTAAAGTCCTCAGAGACCCACCTCTGCCTACAGTCTGATTGTATTGTCTTTATCAGCCTCAAGCTATTGACCATAGGGTGGAGTGAGAAGTTTTCCAATAGGGTGGGGCAATTGCTTCTGCCTTCAGTCTGTTATTCTCAGTTTTTCATGGGCCTCTGAAACTCCATAGGGTGGGGTAAGATGTTTTCCAATAGGGTTAGGCAAATGCCTCCCACTCCCCAGGAAAAATCTGCCTGGATAGCATATGGCCCCCCCAGAGAAAGATGTCCTCCAAAGGGTGAGGGATTGATGCAGCATAGGAAACTGGGGTTCTGCCTTCTTAGGTCTAATCTCAGAGTCACCAACCCTGGCTTTTGCTCACACATTTCCAGTCCAACCTACCCTCCCTCTGTGGAAGCCCAGGGTGAGTGGCTGCACACAAAGTTTTGTGTGTTGGCCCTTTAAGAGGTGGCCTGCATTTCCAGCCATTTCTCCCTGGCAGATAACAACCTTCCTGCTTTTCACAGCTAGTTGTTATGTGGGCACCTTTCTCAGTTCTGGTTCTCTCGGCTGGGAAGCCCAGCTTGGGGTTTAGACTCCAGAGTTCGAGTGGGGAACCCTCCAACCCCCAGCTGAGATATCCCTCTCAAACCTCAGCTGCTATTTGTGGGCGCCCCGCCAGCCCATTCATGCCTCCATACTGCCTACCAGGCTTTATGTGGTCTCCACTTTCCACCCGTGGTTATCAGCATTCTCTCCAGCTAGTCTTCAGTTTATTATTCAGGGTGATTTTTCTGTATTTTAGTTGTAATTCCAGTTTTGTCTTGGGAGCATGTCAGTGTTGCTTCCACTTATTCTGCCACCATTTTTAATATCTTTTTATATTTTGTTTAATCCTCAAATTATTGAAGTCATATAACTAATAAACAAATATTTTAAAAATATAACTAATAAACAAGTATTTTTAAAAACAAAATATCTTGAAATTTAAGCTGACTATAATTTGATTAAATCATTTACAATCATTTAAAATGCAATTATGCGTTTACTATCATAAAATTGACTATCATAAAATATCATAAAATTTAACACAAACACAGAGTAAAAAGCTTATTATTATATTTATACTTGATGTATCCTAAAGCCCCAGAACAATGGACTTATTTATTTTTTTGGTAATTTATGTGGTTATAAACTCTTAGGGGATATTAATATACTTATTTGTAATATCTTCCTAGGGTTTCAGTGCTATATTTTTATTTCTTCCCATGGATCAAGTAATAGTATTAGTCCCCAAAGAGAAAATATATGTGCTCAGCAAGGCTACAGGATATGGATGACTCGCTGACCCACTTGGTCTGGGGCAGGACTCATCATCAGGCTACATTCACTTGACATGTTACTGCAACATAATTTTTAAGGTCACACCTTCACTTGAATTTAATTTTTTTACAACCTGGTGTCTTTCAGGAAATGATGTAGTACTTTTAAATTTTCACTTTGCCAGAGTTACAAAACCCACTTCCTATCAGTATAATATATTGATTTGGTCTGTTACCTTTTAAAAGAATTATATATTCCTTGTCGGTGTTTTATTAAAATGAGTAGAGACATCTAGTAGTTTCATTTCCTATGAGATGCTCCCCCTTTGGAACATTTTACTAATTCTTCTTTTTGAG